AACCGATTTTGGGGTAGGTGGAGGGAGTCTGGAAGGGCATCTAGGAATCTTTGGGTTGTCCGAGAATTTATGGCACAGCTTTTGATGATCTTTGGCTGGGGTCTGAGCAGATTATTTGTTGCGATTGCAAACGTAATAAGATGGTAGTACGATCGATCGTCCAGGATTATGAGGAAAAACATTTAGATCCACAATATTTATTCCACGGGACAAAACTAGATCCAGGGTATGACTGTGGCAATGAGTAGGTCCAGAGACATGTTGGACAAAACCCACTGAGCCGATGATTGCTCCAAAAGCCTTTTGGAGTGGGTCTGTGGACTTTTCCATGTGAATATTAAAGTCACCAAAAATTAGAATATTATCTGCCATGACTACAAGGTCCGATAGGAATTCAGGGAACTCAGTGAGGAATGCTGTATCTGGCCAAGGAGGCCTGTAAACATTGCTATAAAAAGTGATTGAGTAGGCTGCATAGATTTAATGACTAGAAGCTCAAAAGACGAAAACGCAGTCTTTTTTGTTTGTTTTGTAAATTGAAATTTGCTGTCATAAATGTTAGCAACACCTCCGCCTTTGCGCATTGTATATGCTCGCTAGTGTAACCAGGAGGAGAGGCCTCATTTAACACAGTAAATTCATCAGGCTTGAGCTATGTTTCAGTCAGGCCAATCACAAGTGAAGTGAGGGATCTAACATTAAGTAACCCTACTTTGAGATGTGAGATATCACAATCTCTTCCAATAATGACAGGAATGGAGGCCTTTATTCCAGTGAGATTGCGAACACCGCAATGTTTTGTTTTGCTCAACCTAGATCGAGGCACAGACACGGTCTCAATGGGGATAGCTGAGCTGACTACACTGACTGTGCTAGTGGCAGACTCCACTAAGCTGGCTAACAGCCTGCTGCCTGGCCTGCACCCTATCTCATTGTGGAGCTAGAGGAGTTAGACAGGGATCTATGTTCATAGATAAGATGAGAGCACCCCTCCAGCTAGGATGGAGTCCGTCACTCCTCAGCAGGCCAGGCTTGGTCCTGTTTGTGGGTGAGTCCCAGAAAGAGGGCCAATTATCTTCAAATTCAATAGGAGTACAGGTGTCCCTATAAGAGGGGACGCTTCCCCTCAATCAGCCTCCCGAGATATTATCTTCAGCGAGACTAGAGAGGGTCTGCAGGGCCTTAAGTCCTATGGGGCTCCGCTCCACTCATAGAACTGGAGTTACACTCCGGTAACTATCGTTCTATATCGTGGAGCTCCGCCCCATAGGGGAGCTCTGCTCCTATTGGTTTAAGGCGGAGCGCAACGCTTCAAAATGTACTCCCTGCCGTGCCCAACGCTTCCCATCGAAATGAAAAGTTTGGGCCTAGCAATGGCTGCGACCAAGTCTCGCAGTACTGTAACACACTGTGTCACAATATACTGCGTCATCGGTCCAAATCCGCCCCACCTAGTCCAATGGCATCACCAATGTCTAGTGGGCAGATCACCAGGATACGGGCCATACCAATCTGTACTAGCAGATAGATGGTACCTCAATATCCTGTTACAACAATACCAACCACTAATGGAATGACACAAGTGTCACTCTACATTGTGTACACGGTAGCCCGCCCCACTCAATCAATGGAACCCCAAAAATTAGTGGGCAGATCTCAGAACATGATTCATACTAATCTGAACAAGCAGATAGATGACGTCACATTCCGTCAAAATTGTCATGACCGTTCTAATAGTACCGTAACCAAGGTTACTACTATTATCCCTCATCATTCCGCCTCAACCCAGTTATTCACCGGTGGGCTGATCAATACATGCCTTCTACTGTACTGAACCTGTCAGTCAGGAGTCATGCTAAAATATGTATTTCTATCAGAAGCGGACCTGAAAGAGACCTGTCTCCTCGTTCCTGCATTCCTCTCTCTTAGCTCAAGTCCTCCCCTCAGCCATGCTGAGTACAGACTGAGCCAAAGAGTTAGAAGACATATCCAAGAGATAGAAACAGATAAATGGAGACGGTGACGATCACGATGCCGCTGCACAGATATCCTCTACCCCTTTTCCTCTGAGATGGGCTCTTATACCCTGAGGCAATTGTCGCCCGCTGCCTCATAAGCTGTCTCAATGCCTTCGCAAAGCCAATGAGACAGAAGCTGCTTCGAAAGTGGTCTACCTAGTGCAGCCGCACCGTGACACACAAACAGCTGAGGCGATGACCTAATCGCTGCTGTGCGCTCAACGTAACACGCCTAAGCACGCACTGGGCACAGGCAATGGAGCCTTTCCTCTCTCCTCTCCCCATGGGGAGGGGGAGAAAAAGCCCACAGCTCCACGGTCTGTGATCTATATGAGCTCTTAATAACCTTTGGCATAAAAGCCGGGTTAGGACGTAACACCGCTCTGCTCAAATCGCCATTAATGGCAAGACAGTCGGGTCTCGTCAAAAGAGCACACAAATCACTGACACGCTTAGCAGTAGTCAAAGCGAGCAACAGTGCCGTCTTCATAGACAGCATCTTGAGGGGTATTTGATTCAATGGCTCAAACGGCGACTCACAGAGCGCTTCGAGTACCAAAGCCAAATCCCACTGAGGAAGCGTGGCTCTAGGCATTGGTCTAAGCCGCCGCGTTCCTAATAAGAAACGTTTCACTAGAGGGTGGCTGAAGACAGTGTCTCTGCCAAACCCCTCGTGACAAGCTGAAATCGCCGCTGCAAACACCTTTAATGGTGGCGGGCGATCGCTGCTTATCAAACATAAACTGCAGGAACGAGAGAACACTCTCAACCCGACAGTTCATGGGTTCTACATTCTCTGTGACACACCACTGTGAAAACACGTTCCATTTACTGGCATACACCCTGGAAGTGGAACCGGCACTTGAACCCTGTATGGTCCTGATTACTGAATCAGATAACCCACAGCGCTCTAGCCTGTCCCTCTTAGGAGCCAAGCCTTCAGTGGTTGGCCGATTATGGGCAATCGCCCTATCGAGCCTCCCGACTGAGACAACGCGTCCCGTCGATGTGGAATTGGCCATGGTGGCGCAATCAACATCTGACTCATCTCCGCGAACCATGGAGCCCCTGGGCGATCGGGGTCCACCAATATTATTGACAGCCCGCCTGATCTCACCCTGGCTAACGGTAGGAGAATGCAGGACAGCGGTGGGAATGCATACAGGAGAACTCCCCAGTGGCGGTCGACGCTCTGATGACTTCCCTCGCCGGCGGCATCGTCGGGGCCTCAGGTGCTGCTGGGGGGGCGGAGCCCTCTCTCCTGCTGCTTGAAGCCGCCGTCTGGGGCCAGGTACGACGTCTCGCAGTAGAGCCTGCTCTACTAGAGGCGGTGGAGGTGGACTGTTTAGTAGTAGTCACGTGGCCTGCTCTCCCTGCCAGTGGCAGGTGTCTGGCCAGCTGCTTCCTCTCCTCATCAAGCTTCGTGAAGCGCCCCGTCGCCTCTTTGACGGCGACTCTGAAGAGCCCGTCGTCAGAGAAGGGGGCGTTCAGAAGCGACGCTCTGTCTGCTTCTTTCATGGTTGTCAGTGACTGAAGTGGCCATGGACCTCCCCGCGCCGACAGCTGATGCCTGTGTCAGGTGAAGAATAGCGCCAGAAATCCTGGATGCCTCTTCCACCTCCTCCCTGGCGAGCTCAGTCTTACCCGTGGTTAGACGGGACAGAGAGGTCGCTAGGAGGGCACTGCTACAGCTTGGGCCCCCAACGTAAAATACTTTTCCACCAGCTGTGCTGTGAAGCGGTCTTTCTGCGTTGGCAGAGTGGCCTTCTTGGAAGAGGGCTAGGGACTCGAACCCGGCACGACATACGCAGCCAGTGCGCTCTCTAGCCTGGGGATTCCCTTAGTGAAGCCCTGTTACCTTCCCTCCCTCTGGTAAACGGGAGGTACGCCTTGGCCGGCGAACGGGCCGCCAGAGGCGCCTTCCACGAGCCCTCTACGTATTTTGCCAGCGAGGGCATTGCTGGAGCCAAAGGCTCCGCCGCCCTCCTTGGCCGAGAATAGGGGCCGCCCTCCATCATGTCCACATCCGGTGCGGAGGGAATTGGGGGCAGCGCTATCTCCAAACGTCTAGCAGCCCTCTCAATGAGCCCAGGAAAGTCTGAGCGCAGAGAGGCTGCTGCGAAGGACAAGGCTACTGATCTCTCAGAGCCCGTGTCGTCATCGCCAGGGAAGTACAAGACCTCTCACTCTCCAAAGGAAAGGGGGTCTTGAAGTTCTCGGTCAGAGGGACAGATTGTTCCATAGGAATATCCATCTCATCCCCATAATCCCTGTCTTCTCCAGAGTCGGCGCCCTCGGATGATGCCTCAGAAGCTGAGGCTAACACCGATAGCACGTCCTCCAAAGGGATATCCTCCCTAAAGAACGCCCAGCGCTACTTCCTCTCCTTCAATGAAAGGAGGGCGCAGCTGGCGCAAATAGGGGGATCGCTGATGCCGTCCTTGGCGTGCTGTGAACCCAAACACACAAAACAAAGGTTGTGGGAGTCCGCAGCCCCCATGGAGGCACAGCGGCATTGAGCTCTGAAAAGAGCTGGTGTGCTCATTTAGGACGACGTCGATGACCTGGAAAATCGACTGCGTTTTCTTCGTCCTGAGTCTTCGCCTCTTCTTGGCTACTTCAGTCTAGTCCAGTCGCTGAACATAATGGGAGGTTGATTGCGGGGAAGCGTCCCCTCTTATAGGGATACCTGTACTCCTATTGGCTGCAGGTGTGTGCCTAATTTTGTCTCAGGCTGTTCGCAGCGGGGTAAACCAATAGGAGCAGAGCTCCCCTATGGGGCGGAGCTCCACGATATAGAACAGCACAGCAGCAGGGAGACAAGTCCGGAAGTTGAGGTCGGAGCAATGACTGAAACACTGTTGCCACAACACAGATGTGGCTCTCTGTTCCAGAATTATAACGGACATGTAAGTGGGTTGCTAGTTTTGTTTCAGCACTATTCCAGTGACGTAACTGTGTGTGTGTGTGTGTGTGTTCCAGCACTGTAACGATGATATCCATAACTGCCAGTCGGACATGAACATAGTGGGGGCGTGGAAGAGGGGCTACACGGGGAAAGACGTGGTGGTCACCATCCTGGATGACGGCATAGAGAGGAACCACCCCGACCTCATTCAGAACTACGTGAGTGTGTACTGTATGTGTGTGGGTGCATGTACACTGAGTGTACAAAACATTAGGAACACCTGCTCTTTGCCGGACATAGACTGACCAGGTGATTCCAGGTGAAAGCTATGCTCCCTTATTGATGTCACCTGTTAAATCCACTTAAAACAGTGTAGATGAAGGGGAGAAGACAGGTTAAAGGAGGATTTTTAAGCCTTGAGACATGGATTGTGTATGTGTGCCATTCAGAAAGTGAATGGGCAAGTCAATAGATATAAGTGCCTTTGAATGGGGTATGGTAGTAGGTGCCAGGCGCACCAGTTTGAGTGTGTCAACTGCAACGCAGCTGGCGTTTTCACACTCAATATTTTCCAGTGCGTTTCAAGAATGGTCCACCACCCAAAGGACATCCAGCCAACTTGACTGTGGGAAGCATTGGCGTCAACATGGGACAGCATCCCTGTGGAATGCTTTTGACACCTTGTAGAGTCCATGCCCCGACGAATTGAGGCTGTTCTGAGGGCAAAAGGGGGTGCAACTCAATATTAGGAAGGTGTTCCTAATGTTTTGTACACTCAGTGTATGTGTGTGTTTTGGAATGGGGTATGTATGTGGGTTGGAGTAGGAGTGTGTGGCGTATTCTGCCATTGGCTGATTTCTGCTGCTCCGCCCTCGGCCGTAAGAAGACCGTGATGGTGAAGGTATTTCCTCTGTTTCCAGGACAACCAGGCCAGTTATGATGTCAACGGGAATGACATGGACCCCATGCCCCGTTACGATGCCAGCAACGAGAACAAGTAAGATACTGGGTCACAGCATCACTCTCCGCTGTGTGTGTGTGTGCCCTCGCTTCGGTATCTGTATAGTTATGTAGTAGTGTGGTGTGTTTATGGTGTAAGTGAGAATGGTGTGTGTGTGTGTGTGTGTGTGTGGAGAACTCTCCTCTGCCTGGGAGCCCTGTGTCCTGCGCCAGTTTGGCTGTCAGTGTTTTTGGACATTCTAGCCAAAATGCCTTGGCAAACCCTCAGTGCTCTGTGGTAGATTGTTTTCTTAAAGAGACAGGAGGTTTACTAACCCACTGCTTTATAGATAGATCAGCGTCTGCACTGTGTCTCACCCTCTCTCTCTATCCCTCTCTGACTGGGGTTTGTTGAGAAATATGTCACAATAATGGGTACGTTCCAATGTCCATACTAGCATACCGCTTAGAATGCATACCGCTTATTGCTCTATTCTAGGTAGTATGCTGCTGGAGGGGATATTGGAACATAGCCATTAGTATGCTACTGCTACCTAAAGCTTACACACTACACGCATTTCAGCCAGATTTGTATCTTTGCATTGTCCCAACTTGTCCAGGTGGAAGATTTCGAAGTCATTTGTGAGAGGTTCTATGAAAGCTCGCAACCAACTGCTGATTCACTCGAGACGTCCCTATCCAATACGTTTGCGAGTACACGAGTGTGGTGGTGGTGGTAGGAGTTCCAATTTGCTCTAGCTTTATGACATGGTACTGATTTGAGGAAAGAGGACTCACCACTTCTGATCCAGACCAACCAAAGAGACCAGAATGGATTGGTTACAGTCCCCTCTACCGTCCCTTTCTTTAAACCAGCAGTTTCACAGATGTTCAAAGTAAATTGACACTAACCTTGCATCTGCTGTGGGGTGTGTTACCTTTGTGTGTGTGTGTGTGTGTTTCCAGAGGAGAACAAGCTGTTCTTTATGCTTATTCCCTGTGTGAGGAACGTATCCGCTGGTGAATTTGAACATTTCCATGTGATAAAATCTCTGCCATAATGAACCAAGGAATGACCTCCAGGATTGATCCAGTCAGTGTGTTCTTCACATTGAACTGTATTCATCCTGCAGGCATGGAACAGAGATGGGGTAGATGCTGGGTTGCCATGACAGCGGTCAGTGGTGACTCTGGGCCGCTTGGTCCAGATGTTCTTGGCAGGAGGGCTGGTCGTGCCGAGCAAGAGAGTGTTTGCCTCTTCCTCCTCCTAAAACACACTCTTGTTTGTTTGCGCTGGTCACTGACCCTGGCAGATTGTCGCTACAGTCTGTGGCGGAATGTTACCCTTGTTTGTTGAGGGCTCGGGGACATGCAAAACATTGTCTCTTTCACATTGTGAAAATATCTGAGGGCTGTATGTAATCCAGTGCAGCTGCTGCTGCCTCTGACAGCAGGGTCATGTTCGTTACGCACCAAACCGAAGAAAACTGACTATAAGACATTTTCCACTGCATGCCCTTATGAACAAGACTCAGCCCCTGCTACTGGCCATGAGGAGCCCTGTTCCTCCAGGCCAGAGTTTGAACTAAGTCGAACTCCACTTAGTTCTCCTCCACTACTTTTTCGGCCATATGTCTTTGCTCAAACATGCAGGTTGTCAGATGTTATCCTGACTGTTTGTGCATTCTTCAGTATATCTGTTTAAATATTTGTGTGAGTTTTATAAATGTGCGCTTGTGGGAGTGTGTAAATGTGTATATCTGTTTATGTGTGCATAATGTGAAGTGTTCCTGCTCTCTCTTCAGGCATGGAACACGCTGTGCTGGGGAAGTTGCTGCATCTGCTAACAACTCCCATTGCACTGTGGGAATCGCCTACAACGCACGGATAGGTGGTGAGTGTATGTTTATGTGTGTTTCAAGGTTATTTGCCATATGTAATAGAAATCTTACTCACTAGTGGTGAGTGCCTGCAAGTGCGCGCGCGCGTTGGTTTTACTCTTTGCATCTGTGCTTGAGTGTGTGATGTAAACTGTGTGTGCTATATGTACTGTTTGCTCACTCTCTGTCTGTGTGTGTGTGTCAGGGGTGAGGATGCTGGACGGTGATGTGACAGACATGGTGGAGGCCAAGTCTCTGAGTCTGCAGCCGCAGCACATTGACATCTACAGCGCCAGCTGGGGTCCTGACGACGACGGCAAGACGGTGGACGGCCCCGCCTCCCTGGCCAGGCAGGCCTTCGAGAACGGCATCCGCATGGTGCGTCTCTCACACACACACAGTAGACATTAAGTACACATTAAGTATACACACTTATACCCACTATCATACACCAATTCACCCTCAAAAGAAGACTGGGGCAAAGAATACAAATTGACTTGGACAAACACACACGCCCACAGTAACCCGGGGGCTAGAGTTTTATCAATGCCTCAGGGGCACTTCTATACATTTGCATTAAAGAGCTTGGTCTGATTAGCATATCAATGTGGTGTATCCATATTCATGACTGTGTTGTGGAGGTGGCTCAAAGGAAGAGCCTAGCCCAGGGGTTAAGTGGAGGGGAGTTGAGTACACAAGGTCGCATGTGATGATTTCAGAGTGTCCTCTCCTTGCTGAGTCAGAAATGCTGCTGACATTTTGATTGTGGGGAAACTAAAACAATGGTTACTTTGGTGGTGGTGGGTTACGTACACTGAGAATTCTAAACATTAGGAACACCCCCCTTTGCCCTCAGAACAGTCTCAATTCGTTGGGCTCTACAAGGTGTCGAAAGCGTTCCACAGGGATGCTGGCCCATGTTGAGTCCAATGCTTCCCATAGTTGTCAAGTTGGCTGGATGTCCTTTGGGTGGTGGACCATTCTTGATACACACAGGGAAACTGTTGAGCGTGAAAAACCCAGCAGCGTTGCAGTTCTTGACACACTCAAACCGGTGTGCCTGGCACCTACTACCATACCCTGTTCAAAGGCACTTACATGTTTAATCTAGCCCATTCACCCTCTGAATGGCACACATACACAATCCATGTCTCAATTGTCTCGAGGCTTAAACATCCTTCTTTAACCTGTCTCCTCCCCTTCATCTACACTGATTTTGAAGTGGATTTAACAAGTGCCATCAATAAGGGCGGCAGGTAGCCTAGCGGTTAAGAGTGTTGGGCCGATAACTGAAAGGTCGCTGGTTTGAAACCCCGAGCTGACTATGTGAAAAATCTGTTGATGTGCCCTTGAGCAAGGCACTTAACCCTAATTGATCATGTAAGTCACTCTGGATAAGAGCATCTGCTAAATGACTAAAATTAAATTAAAATGTAATAAGAGATAATAGCATTCACCTGGTCAGTTTTATGTCATGGAAAGATGTTTTGTATACTCAGTGTACATATTTTTTGGCCATGGAAGCTACAGAGGTCTATTGGGCTATTATGACAGATGGTTAGAGGTGTGTGGGTGTGTGTGTGGCAGGACCGTGGCAGGTTGGCCTATGGAAAGGGGATGTGACCGGCTAGTGAGCGGGGAGAAAGTGTGACCGGTTGGGAGGGAGGAAAAATGTATTAGTCCCCGTATGTTTGTGAGATATTACTGCCAGGTTAGGGAGAGGTGTGTGTTGCTGTTGTGATAGGTTAGGTTAGGTTAGAGGGTGCAGGTCCCCCCACACCCACCCGCCCCCCACGCTCTCTTAGGGTTCTTGAGCTAATTTCCTCGTTAACGTTTTTCAGTTGCCTTTGTCTGTCTCCCTCTTTCTTCAATAAGTCATCCTCTCCCTACCTGCTCTTTCTCTCTCTCTTTCAGTCTCTCTCACTCTCCCTCTGTATCTCTCCCCTCCTTTCTCGCTCAACTTCTCTCTTTCTCGCTCTCTCCCTCTCTCCCTCTTTTTTTCTCCCTCCATCCCTTCAAAGCTGGTCCCAGTTTTCCGTCAGCGTTTCGTCCTGTCTGATTCTCTCCTCACTCAGAGGGGCTTCTATCTCTTATCACTGGCTGACAGGCCTTTTGAAGTGCTCCCCTCCACCTTTTATCCCCTCTGTGTGTGGATGTGTGTACATGAATGCTTGCGTGTGTGTTTGAGTGAGTGAGAGTGACAGTCAGAGCTCACAGAGCAGTAGGCTCCCTCAAGTATCTCTGCCAATCACACACCAAGAAATGTCCATATAAATAGAATAATGGCATTTTGGCATCATTGACTTTATTTGATTGGGGATGCCCACTTTAGTAATTGTATTTCTATGAAAATAACTCTGTTTACTGAAGCTGTGTGGTAGGCCTGCTCCATTAAGTAATTTGTGCTAATGTAATTAATGTGCTCATTCCCCGTGCACCTGCTATTACCATTTCAGCATCAGGTGGTGGAAGAACGTTGTTCCCACGGGCAGGAAGTCCCGCCTTTGATCTAATTGACAATGATTTGATTTCCTGCCAGGGAAGAAAGGGGCGCGGCTCCATCTTTGTGTGGGCGTCAGGAAACGGCGGGCGGAGCCGGGACCACTGCTCCTGTGACGGCTACACCAACAGCATCTACACTATCTCCATCTCCAGCACCGCAGAGAGCGGACGCAAGCCCTGGTACCTGGAGGAGTGCTCGTCCACCCTAACCACCACCTACAGCAGCGGAGAGAACTACGACCGCAAGATAGTAAGTCTGTCTCCGAAAGAGAAAGAAAGTGTGTTTGTGTGTTCCACCATTCTTACCACAACATACAGCAGCAGAGGGAAGAGAGAACTACAACTGTCTAATAGTTGAGGGGGGGGTGTGTGTGTGTGTGTGTGTGTGTGTGTGTGTGAGAGCTCTTGTGGCCCACAGTCTGGAAGACCTTCAGTCCGTCCTTGTAACGGCTGTGAGGGTCTAAAGCAGGATGATGGGACTGTATCAACACCACCAAGACAGAGGTGGTCTGTCAATGGAGATCCAGCCCTCCACCCACCATGCCTGTCTTCACCATTGAGCACAAATCACTGGCAATAGTCCCGTCATTCAAATACCTGGGCAGCATCCTCTCGGAGGACTGCAGCATCGACCTCAATTCAAAACAGGATCAAGCAAGCATCAGCTGCCTTCGGGAAACTCAGACGCAGCGTCTTCCAAAACTGGGATCTCCACCTCCACACCGAAGTCGCCGTCTATCAAGCCGTCTGCATCACCACACTGCTTTACAGCTGTGAAGCCTGGGTCGCTTACAGTCGCCACAACAAGCCGCTCGAGCGATTCCACATAAGATGCCTGCAGCGCATCCTGGGAATCACCTGCTGCGACCATGTACACCATACAGAAATACTTGCTAAGACCAACTGCAAGAGTATGGACGCCATGGTCACTCAGCACCAACTGCGCTGGCTTGGGCATGTCATTAGGATGTCTCAGGAGCGCTTGCCGTGGAAGATCCTGTATGGCCAGCTACACCTTAGCCGGCGGTCTGCAGCGGGGCAGATGAAGTGCTACAAGGACCAGCTGAAAACTTCGCTGAAGAAGTGCAACATCAAACCCACAAACCTGGAGGACGATGCTGCCGACCGTTCCACCTGGCGGCAGCTCTGCCAGAGCGGTGTACAGAGGTGGAGAAGAGCACAAAGAAACAGCAAAAACAGCTCAGGAGACATACAACCATGCCTGCCCCTGCCAACACAGACTGCACATGCCCCACCTGCAATAAAGTTTGTGGATCTCGGATTGGACTCTACAGTCACCAAAGAATTCATCGTTAACTCAGAAGTGGAAGTCCTCATCGGATACGTTGGACTACCATAACGTAACGTGTATGAGAGCGAGAGAGAGAGCACTAATGTGCTAATGCTGCTTTGTCATTTAGGCCGACTAGATGGCATACGTAACTGATTCCTGTGTGGGCAAAGCCAGACAAACAGGCTTTGGTTGTTTTTAAAGCCCATGACCTTTGAACCCAAGGCTGGGTGAATGAGGTCAATGTGTCGGGGTTGAGCTGTGTGTCCTGGCTGACCCCCTCCTACTCTCCACCCCTGGCCCAGGGTGCATTGGGGTAGACTGTCAGACAGAGTGACAGTTGTCCTAGCTTGTCTGGCAGTGTCTCGCCACAGTACCAATAGAGGTTCTGGAGACCAAGCAGGGAGAGGGAGAGGGAGAGAGCAGTCACTAAGAACCAGCCAGGCCAGCGCTGTGCTACAGACTCACACAGAGCAATGACCAGCACTCAACACACACACACGGTCATGCACACAATGTCCTACTCCAGGGCCCGTATTTGTAAAGCATATCAGAGTAGGAGGGCTGATCTAGGTTCAAGTCCCCCCTGTGCATATACACTACCGGTCAAAAGTTTTAGAACACCTACTCATTCAAGGGTTTTTCATTATTTTTAAAACAATTTTCTACATTGTAGAATAATAGTGAAGACATCAAAACTATATGAAATAACACATATGGAATCATGTAGTAACCAAAAAAGTGTTAAAGAAATTAAAATGTATTTTATATTTGAGATTATTCAAATAGCCACCCTTTGCCTTGATGACAGCTTTGCACACTCTTGGCATTCTCTCAACCAGCTTCACCTGGAATGCTTTTCCAACAGTCTTGAAGGAGTTCCCACATGCCATCTCAATTTGGTTAAGGTCGGGGTATTGTGGAGGCCAGGTCATCTGATGCAGCACTCCATCACTCTCCTTCTTGGTTAAATAGCCCTTATAAAGCCTGGAGGTGTGTTGGGTCATTGTCCTGTTGAAAAATAAATGATAGTCCCACTAAGCCCAAACCAGATGGGATGGCGTATCGCTGCAGAATGCTGTGGTAGCCATGCTGGTTAAGTGTGCCTTGAATTCTAAATATATCACAGACAGTGTCACTAGCAAAGCACCCCCACACCATAACACCTCCACCCCCACACCATACACATGCGGAGATCATCCGTTCACCCACACCGCGTCTAACAAGGACACGGCGGTTGGAACCAAAAATCTCCAATTTGGACTCCAGACCAAAGGACACATTTCCACTGTTCTAATGTCTCTTCTTCTTATTGGTGTCCTTTAGTAGTGGTTTCTTTGCAGCAATTCAACCATGAACCTAACCCGGACGACGCTGGGCCAATTGTGCGCCGCCCTATGGGACTCCCGGTCACTGTCTGTAATGACACAGCCTGGGATCGAACCCCAGGCTGTAGTGACGCCCTAACACTGCAATGCAGTGCCTTAGACCACTGCGCCACTCGGGAGGCACCTGCAAAAAAATAATATTTCCCTCCTTTCCACTCCCTTTGGTCCTCTTTGGCTGAGAAATGATTTCCTGGGTACCTTAGGGAACAGCAGGCTATTATGTGTGTGTGTGTGTGTGTCATCTCTAGCATGGCAGCGTATCAAAGCTGGAATGTGTGCAGTCTCAGGTGTGCCTCAATCTCCCCCTGATCCACAGGACTTAACCCTCCCTCCCCTCTCTGTCCATCCCTCCTGCTATAGATCACCACAGATCTGCGGCAGCGCTGCACAGATAGCCACACAGGGACCTCGGCGTCTGCTCCTATGGCAGCTGGGATCATCGCGCTGGCCCTGGAGGCTAAGTAAGCTCCTTAACCTTAACTCAGGGATTCACACGACTCCACCTGTGCACTGCAGTTAGTTCAGTTCACCCAGCTAGTCAGTCAATCAATCCCATTGCTCACATTGCTTATCAAAATTCTCTCTCTCTCCCGTCTCTTTGCCTTTTTTCACTTTCTTTCTCTGCTGCATTCCTCCCCCCCCCCACACACACACACACACACCAACTTCTCCGTACACACACTCGTCAAGTGGAGCAGATTGGCCACAACTCTTTGAGCGCTGCTGATGGTTGCAGCGGTTATCTGGTATATGAAAGAGAACGGGCCGACTTTGATAAACATATATTCAAGAGGGGCTGGGGCTGGGAGCAGGCCTGCTCTGTCATTTGAAAGCCAGGTTATCTTCCTCCTCTGCCTCATATATTACACCTGTATGTTTATACCATAATTACACTTCAGTCAGAACATGAGAGGAGACTCTCCAACATCAGCCGGGTTTGATGTCGGATCTGTGGGGACCGAACGGGCTGTTGGAACAGTTCCTGTGTGTGTGTGTGTGTGTGTGTGTGTGTGTGTGTGCGCTCCGGCAGCGTTCAAATGATTTTAGGATGCCTGTGCCATGGCCTAGTTAGTGTACCACGTTAATGATGATGAAACATTTATAGAATGTGAATTATGGATGGAGTGGTGGAGTTAAACTAACATTGGTTGGTTTTAATTGTCAATATATCAGAGTTTTCATGGATGGTTATTGGGGTTGGGACCCCCCTGCTTTTCCCTCCAGAAGACATAGCTTCTTAACCTGTGAGTGCCCGTCTGTTTCTGGTCTCTTGCCAACTCCTTATGGAATTGATATGCCATGGCTGGCGCCCAAGCTGACAGCTTCTGGTTTTCACTTGAATTAGTTTTTTGGAAAACGTAGTGAACAGAGTGAGTGTTGGACAGCGAGCAGGAGAACAGATGACTCCTGGGAGGTGAAACACTTAAACATACTCTCCCACTAGTGTTCAAGAGGTTGATGTTATTGGTTAGCCGTGAAGGTTTTCTCTTCCACGATAAACTCCTTAGGAGACAGTACACAATGTCCGTTTTTATTTTAGGGTCTTTTCATACATATCTGTTTTACCGTTTAGAAATGAATGCACTTTGTGTCTAGTCCGGCCATTTGAAGAAGTCAGTATTTGGACAAATTCACTTACATTTACATTTTAGTCATTTAGCAGACGCTCTTATCCAGAGCGACTTACAGTTAGTGAGTGCATACATTTTCATACTGGCCCCCTGTGGGAAACGAACCCACAACCCTGGCGTTGCAAGTGCCATGCTCTACCAACTGAGCTACAGGGGACCACTAGGTGTATTAAGTAGTCGATAGTTTAGTATTTGGTCCCATATTCCTTGCACACATTGACTACATCAAGCTTGTGACGATATAAACTTGTTGGATGCATTTGCAGTTTGTTGTGGTTGTGCTTTGGATACCTGAATGGTGAATAATGGATTGCGCCATTTTGGAGTCACTTTTATTGTAAGTAAGAATAGATGTTTCTGAACACTGCTACATTCATGTGGATGCTACCATGATTATTTGTTAAATTAATTGTGAGTAATGAGTTAAAGGTTAGAGGTACAAAGATCATACCACCATGTTTTGTTGCCTCTGAACGGCATCTTACTCAACATTATTCATGATCCATTCATGATTTTTATCAATCATGGCATTATCAGGATTAATTTAGAAGTGTTCAGAAACATCTACTCAGGAGAGGGGGTGGGGGAATGGATGCATAAAGTGCTTTCATTTCTAAACAGTGAAACGGATATGTATGAAAATATCCTCAATACATTCTGTACTGTTGTTGCATCATATGAAACATTGATCTCAAATCCAAAATGCTGGAGTATAGAGACATTTTAAATGTTAGCTTTACTGTCAAAATACATATGGAGGGGAGTGTACAGTTGAAGTCAGAAGTTTACATACACCTTAGCCAAATACATTTAAACTCAGTTTTTCCCACAATTCCTGACATTTAATCCTAGTAAAAATGCCATGTCTTAGGTCAGTTAGGATCACCACTTTATTTTAAGAATGTGAAATGTCAGAATAATAGTAGAGAGAATTATTTATTTAAGCTTTTATTTATTTGATCACATTCACAGTGGGTCAGAAGTTAACATACACTCAATTAGTATTTGGTAGCATTGCCTTTAAATTGTTTAACTGGGGTCAAATGTTTCGGGTAGCCTTCCACAAGCTTCCCACAATAAGTTGGGTGAATGTTGGCCCATTCCTCCTGACAGAGCTGGTGTAACTGAGTCAGGTTTGTAGGCCTCCTTGCTCGCACACGCTTTTTCAGTTCTGCCCACAAATGATCTATAGGATTGAGGTCAGTGCTTTATGATGGCCACTCCAATACCTTGACTTTGTTGTCCTTAAGCCATTTTGCCACTTTGGAAATATGCTTGGGGTCATTGTCCATTTGGAAGACCCATTTGCGACCAAGCTTTAACTTCCTGACTGATGCCTTGAGATGTTGCTTCAATATATCCACATCATTTTCCTTCCTCATGATGCCATATATTTTGTGAAGTGCACCAGTCCCTCCTGCAGCAAAGCACCCCCACAGCATGATGCTGCCACCCCCGTGCTTCACGGTTGGGATGGTGTTCTTCGGCTTGCAAGCTACCCCCCTTTTCCTCCAAACATAACGATGGTCATTATGGCCAAACAGTTTTATTTTTGTTTCATCAGACCAAAGGACATTTCTCCAAAAAGTACGATCTTTGTCCCCATGTGCAGTTGCAAACTGTAGTCTGGCTTTTTTATGGCAGTTTTGGAGCAGTGGCTTCTTCCTTGCTGAGCGGCCTTTCAGGTTATGTCGATATAGGACTCGTTTTACTGTGGATATAGATAATTTTGTACCTGTTTCCTCCAGCATCTTCACAAGGTCCTTTGCTGTTGTTCTGGGATTGATTTGCACTTTTCGCACCAAAGTATGTGCGTCTCCTTCATGAGCGGTATGACTGCTGCGTGGTCCCATGGGGTTTATACTTGCGCACTATTGTTTGTACAGATGAATGTGGTACCTTCAGGCGTTTGGAAATTGCTCCGGAGGATGAACCAGACTTGTGGAGGTCTACAAATGTTTTTTCTGAGGTCTTGGCTGATTTCTTTTGATTTTCCCATGATGTCAAGCAAAGAGGCACTGAGTTTGAAGATAGGCCTTGAAGTACATCCACAGGTACACCTCCAATTGACTCAAATTATGTCAATTAGCATATCAGAAGCTTCTAAAGCCATGACATCATTTTCTGGAATTCTTCAAGCTGTTGAAAGGCACAGTCAACTTAGTGTATGTAAACTTCTGACCCACTGGAATTGTGATACAGTGAATTATAAGTGAAATAATCTGTCTGTAAACAATTGTTGGAAAAATGTCTTGTGTCATGCACAAAGTAGATGTCCTAACCAACTTGCCAAAACTATAGTGTGTTAACAAGAAATTTGTGGAGTGGTTGAAAAACAAGTTTTAATGACTCCAACATAAATGTATGTACACTTCAGACTTCAACTGTATATACAGTGGGGTCTGAAAATATTGACACCTTATTGGTAGATTTTCATGTCACCCAACAAATGTAAACACCTGGAGTTTGCTTAACAGCATTGGCACTTGGATTGGAACCGGTGCTTTGGTCAGATTACATGAAAATAGAGCTCTTTGGCCACGCACACCAGTGGTGGGTTTGGTGTCGAAATGAGAATACATAAGCAGAAAATAACCCCATACCTACTGTAAAGTAGGGTGGTGGATCTTTGATGTTATGGGGCTATTTTGCTTCCACTGGTCCTGGGGGCACATGTTAAGGTCAACTGCATCATGAACTTTACCCAGTACCAGGACATTTTAGCCAAAAACCTGGTTGCCTCTGCCAGGAGGCTGAAACTTGGCCGCAACTGGATCTTCCAGCAAGACCATAACCCTAGGCACACATCAAAATCCACAAAGAAATGGTTAATTGGCCACAAAATCAACATTTTGCAATGGCCATCTCAGTCTCCGGACTTGAAACCCATTGAAAACCTGTGGTTTGAATTGATGAGGGCATGTCCATAAGTGCAGACGAAGGATATCAAGGATCTGGAAGGATTCTGTATGGAGGAATGGTCAAAGATCCCTCCCAATGTGTTCTCCAACTCATAAAATATTTTTGAAAAAGTTGAGGTATTGAAAGGTATTAAAAACAGAGGTGTCAATCATTTTGACCCCTACTTTTTTGAGATTTTTTTGTATTACTTGTTAAACAAAATGTATTTCTCTGAGCAATTGTATTAGTATAATATAATTTCCCAAACATTTTAAACTTACAATATACCTATTTATTCGATACAGTCATTTTGCTCGTCTTTATCAATGGTGTCAATAATTTCAGACCCCACTGTATATCCTTGCGGAGTAGTACTTTTCTAGAAAAACCTGCTGCCTCTGAATTTTCCGAAATGCTGTGCTCAGAGGATGAGGGAGAGATGAGAGCGGGAGAAAATAATGAAGCATCTGGACGGCATATGAAGGGATTCCCAGGAAACTTGGTGACCTAGATATATTTTTTTTTAAGCACCGTCTTTACATCAAAGGACACATGGCTGCCATCTTGTAATGGTTATCACGTGAGATTGGAGAGGGGAGGGAGGCGGATGGATGGGCATACTGTATCTGGTATACCTAACTCTCCCGCTCCCTTTCTGTTACACGCAAACACCCAAGCACCATATGTATAGTACACACAAACACATACACACACAAACCGTGTTAAGTCTGTGTATATTGTTGGTCACCAGTGTGTCTCTGTGGTGTTTTGTGATTTCTCCTCCAGTCCTCTGTTGTCGTGGAGGGATGTTCAGCACATCATTGTCAAGACGTCTCGAGCTGGCCACCTCAACGCCCCTGACTGGAAGACCAACACCGCTGGATACAACGGTGCTTAACACTGCCCGCCTCCTCTCCTCCCTCTGCCACTCACCTCTTTTTCCCCTCTTTCTTTCATACCCCTCACTTACTCTTAGCCCAGTCACTCACCATAAACCATCCTACCGCCTGCCAACTACCTGTCAGGGATTTCATGCGGAGTACTTTGTTTCATAAGTGTGTGTGTTTGTGGAGTGTGAGTGTGTGTGAGACAGACTGAGACTGCAGTCCTAGTCCGTCTGGAGTTGTTCCAAGCGGCTGTTTCAAAGAGGATTGGGAAACCTAGTGAGAGAGAAAAGGGAGGAGGTGGGGAGTTCATCCAGAGGAAATGGAGAGCGGAGGTTTAAAGAAAGAGGGGGAGGGATGGGGAAACAATATTTGATTGGTTTTGTGGATTGGGTTAACTTACTGATGTTTTACTGTGATACTGCTTTGGTTGGATGGCTGTTTTGATTGGTTGTTCTAAGGCGGTGGTCACCAACCGGTCGATCATGAAGACATTCCTAATCACCAAACATTTCTGTCAAAATAACAATGATAAAGCCTTGCATTCCTATTTTTGTGTTTGTTTTGCGCTGTTGGTGGTAGGTGCACTTGATTCAGCAGCCCTAGCGCCAGGAAGGCAATGTGTTCCCATTTTTAACCATTTCATGTGTCTGAAGGTATAACTCTGCCTACCCGGCAGGCCCTGAGAGCAAATCAAGTGCACCTATAGGTCTACCGCTGGCCAATCCGAAACCTCATTGCTCCATAACTGTTTTTAATTGCTTAATGTTGCATAGGCTTACGTTTTTTAAAGTCGTGTAAAATATATATATATATAATCTGAGCAGTAGATCTTGGCTTGCATTTTGACTCAGAAAGTGATCTTGACTCAGACAAGGTTGGTGACCACTGTTCTAAGGCATGAATAACCATTGGCTCAGAAAGTATCCACCCCCTTGCACAATTCTTACTTAAAACATTTTTTGGTTACAAATTAGGTGAAAAAAAAAAAAGTCCTCTGTGTCAATACTTAGTTAATCTTGCGTACTCTAGAATCCTGAATCAAGGCTATGATATTTGCTAGAAGTATTTATCCATTCCTCTGGGCAAAATTACTCAAGCTCTTTCATAAAGCAGTGGATACTTATCTCATGAAAACATTTCAGGTTGTTATACATTTTTTAAACTGTCTAGATTTTTTGGTGGGATAGGTTGTTTAGATCAGTGAATTAAAAAAACAATCTAGGCTGTAAGGCAACACCTTTGTGCTTATTGGGGTGGATTCTTACAGATATGAATATGGTTCTGTGAAATGTATTGAAGTGATGTGTGGTTTTGAACTATTTTGATTGGCTGTGTGGATTGACTGACGGTGGGCGTGTCTTGCAGTCAGCCACCTGTATGGCTTTGGCCTGATGGACGCGGAGGCTATGGTGAAGGAGGCGGAGCGATGGAAGCAGGTCCCCGCGCAGCATATCTGTGTGGAGAGTGCCGACCGCCAGATCAGGTACTACACAGTAACACCTCCCTAATGGACCTGTCCTTACCCAATCAACCAACCAATCAAATGTAATCTGTTCAGAGCTATTGAGAAATACATGAAAACACTATATTTAACAGCAACCAAGGGTCATGTTCATGTGTGTGTTTCTGTCCAAAAGTTCTTCATGCACCCACGTATGGGATTTCTGAAAGCTCCTGCACACAGAGGAGCCAGCCAAGTATTAGTTCTGGAGGGTCTAACGCATGCCTGCACAAACACACATACAAAATGCATGCATGCACACACACTAGGGGTGTGACGTTTAAACGAATTTGCGATCGTTAACGTTTAGAAAAAATCCCTAACTGAAAACGTTATTGTTTTACAATTAAAATCACAGTGCACTTATCACAAAACGACCACTAACAGGTCCGATCATCATCATAAAGACAAAAAATATATATATTGCAACAACGCTGTAAGTAGGAGGCGATATGCATCTTTCAAATTATTTGACATAGATATTGAGCGCTCCACACCTCATCGTCATTAACAGTTGGAAAAATGGCAGAGTGGGACAGGGAAGCAACAGCAGCAAAGTCCTGTATGGCAATACTTTGTGAAGTTAAATGAGAAAGTGATGAAATGCAAACTTTGTGAGGTGGAATTGAGCTACAGTGGCAGTACAGGTGCAATGCTGAAAGGGAGGCACCGTGAGACCCAACCCGTTGCTGGCAGCAGTGTGATAAGGGACAGCGTGAGAAAATCACAGCGCTGATTGCAGTTGATATGCAGCCATTGTCAATGGTAGAGGATGTCGGCTTCAATAACCTAATGGCATATCTAGAACCAGACTACAAGATGCCACGTCGAAAAACCGTGACGGCCCTGATGGAGAAATTGTACAATGATTGATTGCTCTGCAAGTACAAAGCGCGAGCTCTCCAACACCATATGTGATGTAAACAACAGGTTGTTGGACATCTATGAACACACTGTCATACATCACTGCAACGAGCCATCACATTGATGAGGAGTGGGACATGTATGTTTTTTTTTTTTAACAATAAAAAATGGCTGTTTTTAATTTTTTATTTTTTTTGTCACATCCCTAACATGCACACAAAACACACACACAATCATCCAAGGGTTGGAACCGGTTCAGGGAAAATAACACTATTATTTGAGGAACAGAACCCAAACTAAAAACTAAAGTGATCCATACTGTTCCAGAACAGAACCGTTATTTTAAAAGCATGGCAACCGGTTAATAACGTTATTTTACATTCCGGGCATTTTCCAGTCCCACAAAAATCCCAACAAAGCGCCTATGCTAAGCCCTCACTCAGAAATGTATTCCAGCTTCTGCCTGCCAGCTGGAAATATTTGCCGGTGGGTGTGTGTGTAGGCTACCTGCCCCTCCCCTTTGAAGCATAGGTTGCAAGCGTAATTCAGAAATTAGGGAGAGGTATTTAATTAGAGAAGAATGGATTTACTTTTTCAATGCTAGTATAGTTATCACATCGGATTTATTAACTATAAAAAGGTAAGACGTGTTTTTAATTCTAGGTCTGCTCTGCACAATCAAGCTTGTTAGCTAGCTAACCTTTGCTCTGGTCCAACTTTAAACCAACTGAGAATGACATTCAAAGTACCTTTATAGAAGCCGCTCCTCCATAGGTATAATTCTGTGGGCCTAATTCAGATAATGCATGTCATAAGATGCCCAGCACTTCAAGGCAAGCTTCCTCCAGCCTCTCTCCTCACACTCAAAATGTCAGTTGCTTCTCGCGCCTTACACTGACTGGCAGCACAGTGTGTGTGTGTGTCTTAAATTATGATTAAACCATACTGTTATGGCAAAATACAATTTTCTCTTAACAACTTTACTATACAGATTAAATCGCTTACCCGCTCCACAGCAAGCTGCTCTATCCACACTGATTGGTGAAGTCATTTAATGTCGAGCTAAATGTAAGAAATATATATATTTCAGAGGTTTAAAAAGGAACAGAAAGGAAAGATATAAACTGTACTTTTTCTTGGTTTGAACCGGTTCAGAACTTTATTTTGCTGGTTGGAACAGCGGAACGGAACAAAAAAAAGTGTGTTTCTGTTCAGAACTAAATTATTTGAAAATTATTTTGGTTCCAACCCCTGCAATCACAGGCCCTTTCAATTTGATCCGCTTTTTTTTTCTCTCCCTGTGCAGCTGGATGTTTAATCGGGCTCCTGTTGAACACATTAAAGAGCCAATCACAGTTTAGTTTACTGGCTTTGAATGGAACCAATCAGCCTCATGCTAGTTCCCCAGTCAAGCTCCCTATCTATCAGCCCCATGCTGGCCAGACCATAGGAATCTTATGGGAAGCCCATCTCGGCGTGCGTGTGTTTGTGAGAGTGTGTGTAGTATGTGAATTGAGGACCGCCGGCTGTGGCCCCTCAGGTTTTTGGGGCAGAACGGAGGGTGCTTTTGGCAGTGCAGTTTGTTTTTGATCTGGAGCTGTTCTCCTGTCGTCATCTTCCAGACACAGGCCTCTCCACTGAGACACCACTGGCCTCTCCACTGAGACCCCACTGGCCTCTCCCACTGAGACACCCACTGGCCTCTCACTGAGACACCACAGGCCTCTCCACTGAGACACCACTGGCCTCTCCACTGAGACACCACAGGCCTCTCCACTGAGACACCACAGGCCTCTCCACTGAGACACCACAGGCCTCTCCACTGAGACACCACTGGCCTCTCCACTGAGACACCACTGGCCTCTCCACTGAGACACCACTGGCCTCTCACTGAGACACCACAGGCCTCTCCATGAGACACCACAGGCCTCTCCACTGAGACACCACAGGCCTCTACACTGAGACACCACTGCCTCTCCACTGAGACACCACTGGCCTCTCCACTGAGACACCACTGGCCTCTCCACTGAGACACCACAGGCCTCTCCACTGAGACACCACTGGCCTCTCCACTGAGACACCACTGCCTCTCTCATGAGACACCACAGGCCTCTCCACTGAGACACCACTGGCCTCTCCACTGAGACACCACTGGCCTCTCCACTGAGACACCACTGGCCTCTCCACTGAGACACCACTGGCCTCTCCATTGCATTTGGTCATGTCTGGGCCTTCTCATCCTTGGAGCGTTGGAGAAAAAAACATGTAGGATCTGTAGACCGCCAGTTAAGGTGTAATCTGGGTTTGTCTCCTCCCAGCCCCCCGCCCAAGCCACTAGCGTACCATACACCTCCACAGCCCTCGCAATTGCAGTTTTATAGCATGAGATTAGCTATAAAATTATTATTTAATTTTTTTTGCCCCATGGCAATATGTTTAGAATTGCAGGAAATTAGCTTTAAAAAAGCAACATTTTCTCTCGGCCTCATGGCAAAATGTGTAGAATAGCAAGAGATTAGCTATAAAACGGCAAATGTTTGTAGAATTGTAGAAAGTTACCTTGCTCAGAAACTGCAGTACGCCACTGCCCCAAGCACACTTAAATGCAGATCTACACCCCAACACATTTACTCACACACACGCACACTAGCGTGGATTCTGGTGTAGTGTTTAGGATCCAAGACTGCGTGTCACCCGTCCCCGCTGCCATCCTCTGGCTTGGCCATCCAAACTCTGCTGTGTGCTCTCTGATTGGGTGACTGCTCTGACACTGACATCTGATTGGTTGCTTCCCTCTGCCTGCAGGACGATCCGCCCAGAGCACGTGGTGCGCTCCGTGTACAAGGCCACCAGCTGCATTGACAACTTCAACCACCATGTCATCTACCTGGAGCACGTAGTCGTACGCATCACCATCACGCACCCACGCCGTGGCGACCTGTCTATCAATCTCACGTCCCCCTCGGGAACTAAGTCCCAGCTGCTCGCCAACAGGTGAATCTCCCCTTCAGTTCTACTCCGCTCCCTCTCACACTCTACACACCAGTGTTTCTTCCTGGCAATAAGACAACTGATTAGACTAATCATTAAGCCGTTGATTAGTTGAACCAGGTGTGTTGGTACTGGACCGGAATAAGAAAAGCCTGCCCACCCCTGTGGCTTCCCAGGACCAGGAATGAAGAAACATTCTACTTCTGTATCTTTCCAGTGTGTGATCTGAATGTGGTCGAACCGTGTGGTTTTTCCTTTGTAGGAAATAGAAATGTGGTCTCTGTGTGCTTTCCTCTAGGTTGTTCGACCACTCCATGGAGGGCTTTAAGAACTGGGAGTTCATGACCACCCACTGCTGGGGGGAGAAGGCGGCCGGGGACTGGATCCTGGAGATCCATGATTCCCCCTTCGCAGCTCCGCAGCCAGAAAGTCCCAGGTACAGTAGACTAGAGAAGCCACCCTGTTTAAAGGAGTGACCGTACCAGTGGAAAATATGCTTTAAAAAGTGAACTATCCCCTTAAAGTGGCAATCTACAGTTTTTGGGACTTGTGATATGTACCCATTGATTTGTGAAGAATATAACATAAATGCCTCATGAGCTTAGTTCGACTGTAGTACCCCATCAGAACCCAAAATATACGCTTGTTTTACTCCAATGTTTGTAAACAAAGTACATGTAAACAAACACTGTATAGCCTCAAAACATGGTTAAAACGATCATTTTGATGTCATGGATGGTCAGGGCTTGCATCCATAGCTCTGTCTTTGAATTTGAGAGTGGTTACATTTCTCCAGCCCCATCCTTCAGCTTTTTACCGGAACAGGGGCGGGGAGCCCGCTTTATTGTTTCAATTTAGGATTGCCCCTTTAAGGATACTCACCGATAACCACATTTATATTGCTTAGAAGTATACCAATGATGTGTATTTTTCTTTCTCTCTCTCTTTGTCTGTCTGTGTGTGTGTCTGCTGTGCTGGGCGACACAACCCCCAGGCAAGCTGAAGGAGTGGTCCCTGGTGCTTTATGGCACCTCTGTGCACCCGTACTCCTCCCTGCGCAGTGACAAGCCTCGCTCGGCCGAGCCCCCTGCAGACGAGGAGTACAACGGTGAGTGGGGAATAGGATGGGAGGGAGGGAGGGAGGGACTGTAAGGAAAAAGAGGTGGAGGACAGAATACAGGAATCCTGTTACAAGGGAGACATAGTAGGAAAGGGGGGTGCAAATGGAGGAGAGACTAAGGGGGAGGAAAAAAGGATCAGGGCCAGGCACTTATACCAAATAAACCTTTGATTCTCTCTACCTCTCTGTTCTCTCTACCGCTCTGTCTGTTCTCTCTCTGTTTGCTACCTCCTTTATTATTAATCTCTCACACTACCTTGACATTACCTCTCTTTCTGTTCTCTCCCTCTCTGTTTTCTCCCTATCTCTCTGTGCTCTCCCTTTCTCTCTGTTCTCTCCTTCACTTGCTACCCCTTTCTGTGCTCTCCCTCTTCTCTGTTCTCTTCCTCCCTCTCTCTGTTCTTTGTCCCTGTTTCTGTTCTCTCTCGCTCTCTCTAGCTGTTCTCTCTCTCTCTCTTTACCTCTGTGGGTTCCCTCTCTCGTGCAGGGTTATAATGATAAAATATTAATAATAATTTGGGGCGTGCTTATACACTGAGTTTACAAAACATTAGGAACACCTGCTCTTTCCATGAATTAGAATGACCAGGCGAATCCAGGCGAAAGCTATGATCCCTTATTGATGTAATTTGTTAAATCCACTTCAATCAGTGTAGATGAAGGGGAGGAGACAGGTTAAAGAATGATTTTTAAGCCTTGAGACAATTGACACATGGATTGTGTATGTGTGCCATTCAGAGGGTGAATGGGCAAGACAAAATATTTAAGTGCCTTTGAACGGGGTATGGTAGTAGGTGCCAGGCGCACTGGTTTGTGTCAAGAACTGCAATGCTGCTGGGTTTTCCACACTCAACAGTTTGTGTGTATCAAGAATGGTCCACCACCCAAAGGACATCCAGCCAACTTGACACAACTGTGGGAAGCATTGGCCGGCATCCCAGTGGAACGCTTTCGACACCTATTGAGTCCATGCCCCAACGAATTGAGGCTGTTCTGAGGGCAAAAGGGGCGGGGGGGTGCAACTCAATATTAAATGTTTTGTACACACATGCGTATGTGAAATGGAAATGTGTTTTTTTGCATGTCCCAACTCCCCATGAGACACCGTCGGAGAGTAGGGTCACGGCCAGGGTCCACTATTATCAACGGCGACTCTGGAGCAATTAGGGTTAAGTGCCTCTCTTAAGGATACATCGACAGAATTTTCACCTTGTCAGCTTGGGGATTAGAATTAGCAACCATTCGGTTACTGACCCAACACTCTAACCTCTAGGCTACCTGCCGCCCAATGTGAGCATATTTGAGGTTACAGTGAGGTAGCTGATAGTCCATTAGCCAGTTTGATAAGCCACAGCACACAGCCATGACAGCAGAACATAAACAGCCCCAACGTTTATACGCTCGGTAGACATAACATTCTCCTGCCTTCACCACAACAAGGAACACCTTACACACTCACTCACTCACTCACTCACTCACTGACTGGTTGGAATGCCAGTCACCTCCCTTTAGTCACACCCCAGTTTTGTCTCATTCATAAAGTCTCCACCTACCCCCCCCCTCCCCCGTAACATGAGGAACTACAGTACCCATAATGCTCTGTATAACATATCCTCTTCACTAGGGCTCTGTGACAGTGAGTGCAACGAGAACGGCTGTGAAGGCCCTGGACCTCACCAGTGCATCAACTGCCTCCATTACTTCCTCAAGTTCAAGAACAACACCAGGTTAGCATGTCAGTGTTCTGGCTGCCTCCTGCAGGTCAACAGCTGGGTCATGTTCATTAGGCACCAAACTGAAGAAAACAGACTGAAACAGGGAGGGACTTCCGGTCTTGTCCCCCCAAAAAAAAGCTTTTTTTGTTTTTGCCCCTCTCTGAATTCACCAACATCGGATAGCATGTTCATGATTTAGGCAATAGTCATTGGTCTGACTGCAGTGTTAGGAATGTTGCACCTCCCTTCTCTCACTCATTTGCACTGATTGAAGTAGGTGATTACCCAATCATTTAAACACGGTGAGAACTGTTGTGACAAGGGTCGTGTTCAGTAGGGCCCACCATAAACGCAAAACTAATATCTACAGTGGGGAAAAAAAGTATTTAGTCAGCCACCAATTGTGCAAGTTCTCCCACTTAAAAAGATGAGAGAGGCCTGTAATTTTCATCATAGGTACACGTCAACTATGACAGACAAAATGAGATTTTTTTTCTCCAGAAAATCACATTGTAGGATTTTTAATGAATTTATTTGCAAATTATGGTGGAAAATAAGTATTTGGTCAATAACAAAAGTTTCTCAATACTTTGTTATATACCCTTTGTTGGCAATGACACAGGTCAAACATTTTCTGTAAGTCTTCACAAGGTTTTCACACACTGTTGCTGGTATTTTGGCCCATTCCTCCATGCAGATCTCCTCTAGAGCAGTGATGTTTTGGGGCTGTCGCTGGGCAACACGGACTTTCAACTCCCTCCAAAGATTTTCTGTGGGGTTGAGATCTGGAGACTGGCTAGGCCACTCCAGGACCTTGAAATGCTTCTTATGAAGCCACTCCTTCGTTGCCCGGGCGGTGTGTTTGGGATCATTGTCATGCTGAAAGACCCAGCCACGTTTCATCTTCAATGCCCTTGCTGATGGAAGGAGGTTTTCACTCAAAATCTCACGATACATGGCCCCATTCATTCTTTCCTTTACACGGATCAGTCGTCCTGGTCCCTTTGCAGAAAAACAGCCCCAAAGCATGATGTTTCCACCCCCATGCTTCACAGTAGGTATGGTGTTCTTTGGATGCAACTCAGCATTCTTTGTCCTCCAAACACGACGAGTTGAGTTTTTACCAAAAAGTTCTATTTTGGTTTCATCTGACCATATGACATTCTCCCAATCCTCTTCTGGATCATCCAAATGCACTCTAGCAAACTTCAGACGGGCCTGGACATGTACTGGCTTAAGCAGGGGGACACGTCTGGCACTGCAGGATTTGAGTCCCTGGCGGCGTAGTGTGTTACTGATGGTAGGCTTTGTTACTTTGGTCCCAGCTCTCTGCAGGTCATTCACTAGGTCCCCCCGTGTGGTTCTGGGATTTTTGCTCACCGTTCTTGTGATCATTTTGACCCCACGGGGTGAGATCTTGCGTGGAGCCCCAGATCGAGGGAGATTATCAGTGGTCTTGTATGTCTTCCATTTCCTAATAATTGCTCCCACAGTTGATTTCTTCAAACCAAGCTGCTTACCTATTGCAGATTCAGTCTTCCCAGCCTGGTGCAGGTCTACAATTTTGTTTCTGGTGTCCTTTGACAGCTCTTTGGTCTTGGCCATAGTGGAGTTTGGAGTGTGACTGTTTGAGGTTGTGGACAGGTGTCTTTTATACTGATAACAAGTTCAAACAGGTGCCATTAATACAGGTAACGAGTGGAGGACAGAGGAGCCTCCTAAAGAAGAAGTTACAGGTCTGTGAGAGCCAGAAATCTTGCTTGTTTGTAGGTGACCAAATACTTATTTTCCACCATAATTTGCAAATAAATTCATAAACAATCCTACAATGTGATTTTCTGGATTTTCTTTTCTCAATTTGTCTGTCATAGTTGACGTGTACCTATGATGAAAATTACAGGCCTCTCTCATCTTTTTAAGTGGGAGAACTTGCACAATTGGTGGCTGACTAAATACTTTTTTTCCCCACTGTATGTGAGAAGGGGGCGGTTGAGTGGTGTGATCGTGTGAGTTGGGGATTGAAGTCCACTGTAATTGCCTTTGTCTTTGCGAGCAGCCGAACACAGTACGCAGTACACTAATAAACAAGAAGCCTGCAGGTGCTCTGTCTTGTTCTGTAAAACCTCATCATTAGCCCTCCTAAGAATACAATGTTTTCCCACTACTTCCAACCCCGGAGTGCTTGCTTGATGTAGCTGGAGTGGAGTTTGGGAAGGGTGAAATGAAAGGGGGGGGGGTCATTTAATGCTCATAATTATATCCCTATGTTTCTCTTTGATGACCCCGCCAAACTGGTGTGGGTGGGGTTGGTGGGGGAGGGTGATCTGACGTGGGAGAGAAGTTTTGGAGCACACGGTTTCACCTTTGTAAAAAAACAGCGTGAGAACGAAAGGGCAAAGGAGGTTTATGGAGTTATCTAACAGATGTGCTTTAAAAGAATGGACCTGTTCACCGTACAGAAACACACACTCCCACGCGCACACACACACACACACACACTCGCACGCTCAAATGCAGCCATATAAGCCGATACGCACACAAACATATGATGTGTATAACTTCAGGCCATGAACTTTGTCTACTCCCCCAGGGGGAGAGGGGTTGTTATTCTGCAATCGTGTGGATTTAGATTTATCACCTTGTTCAAACAGTCAGTGGTCAAGAGTACAAAAATCCAGCCTCGCACTCAGTTTCTTTCCTCTAGCCTGTTCCCGTAAGCCAATAACAGCAATGATAATGAGGCATATTTCTCCCTTACTGTCCTCCTCTCCATCCCTGTCCTCCCTCGCTCTCCTCCCTCTCTCTCCTCTCCTCCCCCTCTCTCCTCTCCTCCCTCTCTCCTCTCCTCCATCTCTCCGCTGCAGGACGTGCGTGTCGGAGTGCCCCTCCGGCTTTTTCCGCGATGACAGGAAGCGCTGTAAGAAGTGTTCGTCTCTGTGTGAGACTTGTGTTGGTAGCCGCAGCGACCAGTGCTCCACCTGCAGGCCGGGCTTCCACCTTAACGAGGCCTCCAACACCTGCGTGGCCAGCTGTGTGGACGGCTTCTATCTGGACCACGGCAAGTCCACGTCTCCACACACACACCCATACACACACAAGGATTATTCTAATATGGGCCTCGAAGTCTGAAGTACTTCCAGTTTTTTATTTTCTCCCTGGTAGGCAGTTGATTGATTGATTGATTGATTGATTGATTGAACCAGTCCCAGAGAAGAAAAGGATGAAAACCTTGAGGCCCAGATTTGAACCCACCCCCCCTCCACCATACTCAAACTCAGCCTCTTCTCCCTCACTCAGCTCTGACCCCCACACCAGTCCTCCTAACACTCCCAATGCCTCTTTGGTCCCTATGTGACTGGACGTCGTCTTCTCTCGTGTTACAGATTCCAACATGTGCAGGAGATGCAATGAAAACTGCAAGAAGTGCATCACATCTAATATCTGCACAGAATGCAAACCAGGGATGAGGTACGCCAAGCCAAGCCAAACCCACTTCCCAACATCGCCTCCCTCACAAACTACTGGTTTCTAGTAGTAGTCGAATCACCAAACGGTCCAGGGATCCATTTTGACGTGTCTCGTGGAGTTTTTGGTGGCTTTTGATCATCTTGATTACCGTTCCAAAGCGTTTCAGTTAGATCAAGGACAAAACACTTTGAAGCATCTCAAAATGTTGTGGTCTTGAACCCAGCCTGACTCGGGTTGCTTCTGCTAGTGTTCAGTGCTGTCTGAGACAGAGGTGGTAACAAGTGTGCAGTAATACTTCAGAATGCCCGCAAGACCACAGACAGTCACTCCTATTCACCATTCACAGGAAAGAGGGAGGACAAAAACCCAAATCCTTTCTGGGAAACGGAACTAATATAACTCAGTCCAGCTGTTTTTCAGCTCAGTGCACCACAGAAACCTGTCCTCACAGCAACTTCTCAGAATCGGGTTTAGAACCTCCTGTTCTTGAACAGACTTTTCTGAACAAACCTCTCCCCGGGGACCCCCAGACATTCCAATAATTTGAACTATTCCACAGCTAGCACACCTGATTCAACTTGTCAACTAATCATCAAGCCCTTGAAAAGGCGAATCAGGTGAGCTAGTTCAGGGCTACAAAAATGTTTTCAAATGTCTGGGGTCCCAGAGGAGCGGTTTGAAAACCACTGGACTATGTATAGTGTATGATTTTATTTCTGATGTATGAGACTAATGCAGAAAAAAGAGACCTGTTGCTAGAGAGGTGTGTTGTGTACTAATGTGTGACTGTGTAATTCAGTGTATTGCTCTCTCCAGTCTTCAGGGGAATAAATGTCAGATGACCTGTGACCCCGGGACCTACTATAATGGCCACAGGAGGACCTGCGTGCCGTGCCACCAAGTGTGTGCCACCTGTGCAGGTAACGCTCCCTTCACAAAGTAAAGATGGGGCCTACTACTCACTTGCCCAAAGTAAAAATCGATATTTTGCCTAAAGTGAAGTCTGTGCACTGCTCACCGTCTCCCCCTGTCTGCAGGCACTGGTATGGAGGCATGTATCAAGTGTTCAGAGAGCTACTTAATGGAGGAGTGGCGCTGTGTGTCCGCCTGCAGCGTGGGATACTACATGGCCGAGCAGACTTTGGACAATGGCGACGTCAACAAGTCCTGCAGGAAGTGAGTCGGATTGACGCACACAAATTCCACACCTTCCACTTCCTCCTCTCTTTGACACCTCCTCCCTACAAACCTGGCATGTTTATCCTGGCATGTTTAACTGCCTCAAACCAGACCCTAATCTTCCAAACGGTTTCAACATCTGTCCAATATCTATGGTCCCTTAAACCTGCCGTTTCCTCCTTTAATCCTCTACCTCTACTCACTTTCTGGTCTGGAGGATATCTGCCCTTCAGCCCTCCTATTTGATGTACCTAAATCATAAACTTTGTAAAAGGGACCAACAGGCTTTGTGGAAAGTGTGCCCTCTATCGCCCAAACCTTAGTTCTACCCCTCCTCCCCCCACCCCCAGGTGTGACCACAGCTGCTACTCCTGCACAGGGCCCGGCGAGACCAACTGCAGCACCTGTGTGAACGGCTACAACCTGGAGGCAGGAGTGTGTGTGCTCAGCACCATCTGCAAAGATGGTGAGTACTAGAAACCCCTCATGTATATTATAGACTCTTTATTTCAGAAGCTTGTTCTAGCAGTGGCTGCTCACCACAGGTCGCAGCTTTCTTAGGCTTTCTTAGCTCTCCCCTCTTTCTCGCTCTCCTAGTTTACTTCCTATCTGCCCCTCACCCTCATCCGTCACATTCTTTCCTTATCACTCTTTTCCATATTCTCTCCTACCTTTTATCTCTTGCGCATTTTGTCGCGATCTTTGCTCATGTATTCACTCCTACTTCATCTATCCCAATCTCCCTTTACATCTTGTCTAAATTGTTTAAAATGAAGCAACTTCTGTTTCTGCAAAACCTTCCCCATATCTCACACACTAGATGAAAGGTTGGTGTTGTGGCCTCATACTGTAACCCAGTATAGAGAGTGTCCATGTTCTATTTTTGGCATTCCAGTGACACAGCTAACCTTTTCAGCCCTAACCTACAGGGCCCATTTGTCTGTGAGATATGATGGTGTTTGTGAGTCGTGACCATAGAGTTGGAAAGAAAGCCCACCCCTATCTTTGCCATTATTGCTTCTGTGAATGTGTGGGCAACGGCATTAAGGGCAATTCATTTCCTTGCCTTCTGCTTTTATGAGTTTATTTGTGGTTCGTAAAACAAACTCTACTTATTGTACTGGAGTGTGTGTAGCTAATAAAATAGGATTTGTGGCATCTCTATGGTCAATAACTTTCTTAAGATCTGATTATATTCAAAGTGTCATCCCCAGTCTGTACATGACCTACTGAGACTAAGAGAAAGTGTTTTATTGACTAACTGGTAATGAATCACTTCAGCTTGTAGCCAACTCAAGACTCTCTTGGTTTTTGAGTGCACTGCAAGTTTAAATGTCCATTCTTTCAAATTGAGGTTACAACAGACTGGCGACCCACTTTTTGTGTGCAAAGTCATCTCTGATGAAAAGTTACTTTATGTTTTTACTTTTGAAATTGTCCCTCTTTGAAATTGATTGAAATGTTTTCTATTTTTCCCAAAATGTCTGTTTTACTTTACGACATGGATCCAATCATTCCTGCTGGACTACAATCTTTCCCCTCCGATGAACATCACATCTCTGATGGATCAAAATCTTTGTCACCTGACTCCTCTCCTGACCAATCATGTGGCTCTGCCCGCCTGTCCTGACCAATCCCACGGCTCTGCCTGTTTTTTCCCCCATCTCTTCTTCATGGTCTATGGGAAAGCAAATGAAGAATCTTGGGCGGAAGGCAGTTTCTGTGTGCTTGTTAAAAAGAACAATCTGTGCCAGAGGAAAGTGCTGCAGCAACTGTGCTGCAGAACATGCTCGCTAAAAGGGTGACTGGACATCCCGCGAGGGGACGGGGGGGGGGGCGGCACCCCTCTACCACAGCCCGCTCACTCAGTTACATAATTTATAAGAAAATCTGTGCCTCTTAAGGGACTACGTCGGAGGTGTGATGACAAAACTACAACAAACCTACCTTTTCCTCTACTGGGACATGTGGTCAGGGCGACAGTAGCGACTGGGACTTACAAAAAAACGAAAACAAATAATGTGTCGGTATTTTGTGACCAAAGCATCGATGCCAAAATAATTGTACCCTTTTCCAATGTAGGATGTGTAGCTTGCAGGAGGGACCCTGTGAATCTGTTTCCCTTCATGTTTTTTTTTCTTTCTCCTCCTTGTCAAGATTAACGATGCACAGGTGAAAGCTGATGAACGTATCAACCCCGGTTGTGTGTTTGTAAATAAACTTAAAAGCTCACTCAATAATGTGAAAACTGTCTGGGTTAAGTTTGCTATCTGCCAAGTGAGGATACATGCGCACATGAACGCACGCACGATTGTGCAAACACTTGAATTGATAGTTGCGAAAATCATGTCCCCATTCTACATGTAGCAATTGTGTGCCACAGGAATAGAGGTTGCAAAACTGTCATCTATATTTCAGGTAGTGTGCGTGTGAGAGGGAGAACGTTACAGGTACCCTTGACTCACTTAGGTTCAGACACAAATCATTCCACAGGTCCTAAGATGAGACATCTGTTTATAAAACACTACATTACATAAATCAGGGTCATGTTTATTAGGCAAAAAACAAGAAAAATGACTTAAACAGGGAAGGACTACCTGGGCTCGTCCAATAGGAAACCTTTTTTTTTTTTTTTTTTTTGCTAAATGTTTTCGTTGTGTGCCGTAATGAACAAGACCCATATCTTACTGCTACATGAGACCATGGGGCCATTGCACTTTCACAAACAGCAGCACTATCAGGGCTTTATTCCACAACATTGCACGGTTATGTCATTCCATTCAAACAGAGTTGGTACTGTATTGATCTTCTAGATCATCTTCTTTGATATGGTAGATGTTTTTGGTTGACTTCATTTAAATGTTATTCTATCCTAGCAAGCTGCCACACATTCAAGACATGTCCATGACACTAGCAAACGGCATGCATTTCATAAAGGTCGTGCTCATTATGCACCAAACGGAAGAAAACAGACAGTATGACATATTAAAATGTTTTCTGTTGTGTGCCCTGATGAACAAGACTCATGTTGTAAGCGCCTCAGAGAGACTGAGAATCCAAGACAATGGTTGGTGCTGCAAAATGTGACCACTGTCTGTCTCTGTCACACACAGGCTATAGGAGTCAACTTTGTAGTGGTTGAAAAACCTGTTGATAAAACCTATTATAGAATGAATACTGAGGTGGATACAGCACTGTATTCCAATAAAGAATAAATATTCTCAATGTGGGTTTATACCTTTTGAACAATTACTGTAGTTGTGTTGTACTGATGATTTTGGTTTGATTTGAAATAAAAATGTATTGATCCCTTTGGTTAACAGACACGTATTCTTGGTCATTGTTGAAGATTACTTAGATTTGATTAGATAGTATCAGAGTAGTTTTTTGTACACTAGTGTCGATGTTATATATATTAATGTCATTACTCCTCCAAGACCTAGTCTGGATTATATTTTACTTACAGTTTTAATTTTAATTAAATTGGTTAATCTGTTAATCTTTTTGTGTATTTTTTCTGCTAGGCTCTGTTGGCCACTTATGGTCATTATGAACATAATCATTTCCCCACACTGTTCATCTGGGTCGGGTTTATTAGGCACAAAATTGAAAAATAACTAACTGAAACAGGGAGGGACTACATGGACTTGTTCTATAAGAAACGCTAATTTGAGTTTTCATTATGAAAAGTTTGAAAACGTTTTCTGTTGTGAGCCCTAATGAACACAACCCTGGTTGTATGATAAACCTCCCAGCCTGTTCCTCACCCAACATTATGTTTCCTTTAAGTTCAAGGTTTAGCAAGAAGTTACAGGATGTATGTAATATAATTGTATTTGGTCATTTAGCAGACATATTTATCCGAAGAGACTTTTATCCAACGCAGTCAGTGTTGGAGTAGTAAACTACTAAAAAAGTAAGTAACTACTGAAAACACTACCTAGATTTGAATTAAAATCTACGTAGTTAGCAGTGCAGCTAACTACTGGAACTACACAAAAATAATTAATGGGTGAAGTAGACAATTTATTATAATTTTCGGCATCAGACTAGGGCTGTTACCGTGACCGTATTACCGCTACACCGGCAGTCACGAGTCATGATGACAGTCAAATTCCACATGACCGTTTAGTCACAGTAATTAGGCTTCTCCAAGCTCTGATGCTGCTGATGGTCATTAGTAGCCTACCAAACTTGCTAACTGCCTGGTACTCAGCACTCTAGTGTCCCTCTAATCACTCTGACATCAATGCAAGTGTCATCGAAAATCTAATCAAACACTTCATGAGAGCTCATGTTGTGCAACATTTCTATAGGCTGCAATTGGGTGAGAACAGAGTGATGGCCTCTTAAAAAGAGGAGGATCCCATCAGCTTTCTATAGGCTAGGCCTACAATGTTTATTTCTCAACTTTCCTAATATTAAGCACATTGCTTCTGTTTACAACCTACCTGACTGGCATGAAAATGAACCACGTGAAAAGCGTCCTCCATTCGCTATTTAAGTGCGTAGATTACCTGTATTTTTTTCCGCTGCCCCGGTTTCGAGACAGGTTCATGATAATGGTCCATTCTAAATCAAAACAAATTTCTCACATATATATTATTTAGTATATGTAAAGACAAGATTAAATCAAGAATAGTGTGATGGGTGACAATATTAGCCTATCACTTGTGAATTATATATTATCACTTGTGAATGATGCCCAAGGCAAACCGCACATTTTTTTTGTGTGACCTTTTCAAATCATAGTCGCACACCTCATGTAGGCTAGCCCATAGGCCTATATGTTTTGATAAGGTTTGTATCACAACTAAAGTGGCCAAATAACTTCTTTAAAATGAAGCACATTAATCCACTTTACAACGGGTGTAGAGCCTAATTGACTGACATACATACGCAGCACGTGAGTTTCAAGTTTGGGGAAGATAACTTTCACCATAAAAATATACCTTTTATAATAAAAGCAATACATGCATAATCGCATTTGTGGTCACTTTTGAGAATGGTGTTTTCCTGCTAAAGGAACATTTGCGCTTATAACCTACTGCCGTGTGCTCATTGCTGTGCTTATAATGTGAAGAAATAGCCTAATAATTTATCAACATTTTAAGCTAAACGTTCTCATCTGTTGCGTCAGGCTCATTGCTTAAAACAGGTTTTTTGATGCTAGAGGTTGTATTAATTTGGATCTAGCGCATCCCACAACTGTCCCAGACTATGTTTGGATAATAATTTCTTCCAATATCTTCAATTTGCGCCTCGGAATTTGATAAGGACGAGCGCAGTTGCATCCCTGAAGTATTTGTCTTCACTTGTAGCCTGTGAGAAAGACCCGATCACGTGACTGAGAGCCATGTGAGTGAGAGGTGCTTCGGCACGCAGCCCGGAGAAGGGAATTATAATTATTATATTCAGCCCAAGGGCACAGCGGTCACTGGCCACAAAAGGAATGTATGTTTTTAGAAGGCATTACGGCCACACACGGGATGCAAATCAAATCAAATCAAGTGTTATTTGTCGCATGCGCCGAATATAACAGGGGTAGACCTTACAGTGAACTGCTTACTTACAAGCCCTTAACCAACAATGCAGTTTTAAGAAAGAATACCCAAAAAATTCACACAAAAATACAATATGAAATAAAAGTAACAAATAATTAAAGCGCAGCAGTAGAAATAACAAGAGCGAGGCTATATACAGGGGGTACCGGTACCGAGTCAATGTGCGGGGGCACCGGTTAGTCGAGGTAATTGGGGTAATATGTACATGTAGGTAGAGTTATTAAAGTGACTATGCATAGATAATGAACAGAGAGTAGCAGCAGCGTAAAAGAGGGGTGGGGGGGCAATGCAAATAGTCTGGGTAGCCATTTGATTAGATGTTCAGTCTTATGGCTTGAGAGTAGAAGCTGTTTAGAAGCCTCTTGGACCTAGACTTTGTGCTCCGGTACCGCTTGCCGTGCGGTAGCAGAGAGAACAGTCTATGACTCGGGTGGCTGGAGTCTTTGACAATTTTTAGGGCCTTCCTCTGACACCGCCTGGTATAGAGGTCCTGGATGGCAGGAAGCTTGGCCCATAGTGATGTACTGGGCCGTACGCACTACCCTCTGTAGTGCCTTGCGGTCGGAGGCCGAGCAGTTGCCATACCAGGCAGTGATGCGACCAGTCAGGATGCTCTCAATGGTGCAGCTGTAGAACCTTTTGAGGATCTGAGGACCCATGCCAAATCTTTTCAGTCTCCTTAGGGAGAATAGGTTTTGTAGTGCCCTCTTCACAACTGTCTTGGTGTGCTTGGATCATGTTAGTTTGTTTTTGATGTGGACACCAAGGAACTTCAAGCTCTCAACCTGCTCCACTACTGCCCCGTCGAAGAGAATGGGGGCATGCTCTGTCCTCTTCTTTTTACTGTAGTCCACAATCATCTCCTTTGTCTTGATTACGTTGAGGGAGAGGTTGTTGTCCTGGCACCACACGGCCAGGTCTCTGACCTCCTCCCTATAGGCTGTCTCGTCGTTGTTGGTGATCAGGCCTACCACTGTTGTGTCATTGGCAAACTTAATGATGATGTTGGAGTCGTGCCTGGCCATGCAGTCATGAGTGAACAGGGAGGACAGGAGGGGACTGAGCACGCACCCCTGAGGGGCCCCCGTGTTGAGGATCAGCGTGGCGGATGTGTTGTTACCTATCCTTACCACCTGGGGACGGCCCGTCAAGATCCAGTTGCAGAGGGAGGTGTTTAGTCCCAGGGTCCTTAGCTTAGTGATGAGCTTTGAGGGCACTATGGTGTTGGATGTCAATGAATAGCATTCTCACATACATGTTCATTTTGTCCAGGTGTGAAAGGGCAGTGTGGAGCGCAATAGAGATTGCATCATCTGTGGATCTGTTAGGGCGATATGCAAATTGGAGTGGGTCTAGGGTTTCTGGGATAATGGTGTTAATGTGAGACATGACCAGCCTTTCAAAGCACTTCATGGCTACAGACGTGAGTGCTACGGGTCGGTAGTCATTTAGGCAGGTTACATTAGTGTTCTTGGGCACAGGGACTATGGTGGTCTGCTTGAAACATGTTGGTATTACAGCCAGTTGGTCAGCGCATGCTCGGCGTACACGTCCTTGTAATTCGTCTGGCCCTGCGGCCTCGTGAATGTTGACCTGTTTAAAGGTCTTACTCACATCGGCTACGGAGAGCGTGATCACACAGTCATCCAGAACAGCTGATGCTCTCATGCATGTTTCAGTGTTACTTGCCTCGAAGCGAGCATATAAGTAATTTAGCTCGTCTGGTAGGCTCATGTCACTGGGCAGCTCGCGGCTGTGCTTCCCTTTGTAGTCTGCAATAGTTTGCAAGCCCTGCCACATCCGACAAGCGTCGGAGTCGGTGTAGTACGATTCGATCTTAGTCCTGTATTGACGCTTTGCCTGTTTGATGGTTCGTCGGAGGGCATAGCGGGATTTCTTATAAGCTTCCGGGTTAGAGTCCCGCTCCTTGAAAGCGGCAGCTCTACTCTTTAGCTCAGTGCGGAAGTAATCCATGGCTTCTGGTTTGGGTATGTACAGTGGGGGAAAAAAGTATTTAGTCAGCCACCAATTGTGCAAGTTCTCCCACTTAAAAAGATGAGAGAGGCCTGTAATTTTCATCATATGTACAAGTCAACTATGACAGACAAAATGAGGAAAAAAAAATCCAGAAAATCACATTGTAGGATTTTTAATGAATTTATTTGTAAATTATGGTGGAAAATAAGTATTTGGTCAATAACAAAAGTTTCTCAATACTTTGTTATATACCCTTTGTTGGCAATGACACAGGTCAAACGTTTTCTGTAAGTCTTCACAAGGTTTTCACACACTGTTGCTGGTATTTTGGCCCATTCCTCCATGCAGATCTCCTCTAGAGCAGTGATGTTTTGGGGCTGTCGCTGGGCAACACAGACTTTCAACTCCCTCCAAAGATTTTCTATGGGGTTGAGATCTGGAGACTGGCTAGGCCACTCCAGGACCTTGAAATGCTTCTTACGAAGCCACTCCTTCGTTGCCCGGGCGGTGTGTTTGGGATCATTGTCATGCTGAAAGACCCAGCCACGTTTCATCTTCAATGCCCTTGCTGATGGAAGGAGGTTTTCACTCAAAATCTCACGATACATGGCCCCATTCATTCTTTCCTTTACACAGATCAGTCGTCCTGGTCCCTTTGCAGAAAAACAGCCCCAAAGCATGATGTTTCCACCCCCATGCTTCACAGTAGGTATGGTGTTCAACTCAGCATTCGTTGTCCTCCAAACACGACGAGTTGAGTTTTTACCAAAAAGTTATATTTTGGTTTCATCTGACCATATGACATTCTCCCAATCCTCTTCTGGATCATCCAAATGCACTCTAGCAAACTTCAGACGGGCCTGGACATGTACTGGCTTAAGCAGGGGGACACGTCTGGCACTGCAGGATTTGAGTCACTGGCGGCGTAGTGTGTTACTGATGGTAGGCTTTGTTACTTTGGTCCCAGCTCTCTGCAGGTCATTCACTAGGTCCCCCTGTGTGGTTCTGGGATTTTTGCTCACCGTTCTTGTGATCATTTTGACCCCACGGGGTGAGATCTTGCGTGGAGCCCCAGATCGAGGGAGATTATCAGTGGTCTTGTATGTCTTCCATTTCCTAATAATTGCTCCCACAGTTGATTTCTTCAAACCAAGCTGCTTACCTATTGCAGATTCAGTCTTCCCAGCCTGGTGCAGGTCTACAATTTTGTTTCTGGTGTCCTTTGACAGCTCTTTGGTCTTGGCCATAGTGGAGTTTGGAGTGTGACTGTTTGAGGTTGTGGACAGGTGTCTTTTATACTGATAACAAGTTCAAACAGGTGCCATTAATACAGGTAACGAGTGGAGGACAGAGGAGCCTCTTAAAGAAGAAGTTACAGGTCTGTGAGAGCCAGAAATCTTGCTTGTTTGTAGGTGACCAAATACTTATTTTCCACCATAATTTGCAAATAAATTCATTAAAAATCCTACAATGTGATTTTCTGGATTTTTTTCTTCTCAATTTGTCTGTCATAGTTGACGTGTACCTATGATGAAAATTACAGGCCTCTCTCATCTTTTTAAGTGGGAGAACTTGCACAATTGGTGGCTGACTAAATACTTTTTTTCCCCACTGTACGTACAGTCACTGTGAGGACGACGTCATCGATGCACTTATTGATGAAGCCAGTGACTGATGTGGTGTACTCCTCAATGCCATCAGAAGAATCCCGGAACATATTCCAGTCTGTGCTACAAAAACAGTCCTGTAGCTTAGCATCTGCTTCATCTGACCACTTGTTTATTGACCGAGTCACTGGTGCTTCCTGCTTTAGTTTTGGCTTGTAAGCATGAATCAGGAGGATAGAATTATGGTCAGATTTTCCAAATGGAGGGCGAGGGAGAGCTTTGTACACGTCTCTGTGTGTGGAGTAAAGGTGGTCTAGAGTGTTTTTCCTTCTGGTTGCACATTGAACATGCTGGTAGAAATGAGGTAAAACTGATTTAAGTTTCCCTGCATTAAAGTCCCCGGCCACTAGGAGCGCCGCCTCTGGATGAGCATTTTTCTGTTTGCTTATGGCCGTATACAGTTCATTGAGTGCGGTCTTAGTGCCAGCATCGGTTTGTGGTGGTAAATAGACAGCTACGAAGAATATATATAAACTCTCTTGGTAGATAGTGTGGTCTACAGCTTGTCATGAGATACTGTACCTCAGGCAAGCAAAACCTTGAGACTTCCTTAGATATCGTGCAGCAGCTGTTGTTTACAAATATACATAGACTGCCACCCCTTGTCTTACCAGAGGCTGCTGTTTTATCCTACCGAGTCCTTGCCACTGAAAAACATCCCCACAGCATGATGCTGCCACCACCATGCTTCACCGTAGGGATGATGCCAGGTTTCCTCCAGACGTGACGCTTGGCATTCAGGCCAAAGAGTTCAATCTTGGTTTTATCAGACCAGAAAATCTTGTTTATCATGGTCTGAGTCTTTTAGGTGCCTTTTGGCAAACTCCAAGCAGGCTGTCATGTGCCTTTTACTGAGTAGTGGCGTCCGTCTGGCCACTCTACGATAAAGGCCTGAATGGTGGAGTGCTGCAGAGATGGTTGTCCTTCTGGAAGGCTCTCCCATCTCCATAGAGGAACTCTGGAGCTCATTCAGAGTGACCATCGGGTTCTTGGTCACCTCCCTGACCAAGGCCCTTCTCCCCCGATTGCTCAGTTTGGCTGGATGGCCAGCTCTAGGAAGCGGCTTGGTGGTTCCAAATTTCTTCCATTTAAGAATGACACAATCCTGTCTCGGAGCTCTACGGACAATTCCTTTGACCTCATGGCTTGGTTTTTGCTCTGACATGCACTGTCAACTGTCTGACCTTTATATAGACAGGTGTGTGCCTTTCCAAATCATGTCCAATCAATTGAATTTACCACAGGTGGACTCCAATCAAGTTGTTGAAACATCTCAAGGATGATCAATGGAAACAGGATGCACCTGCGCTCAATTTCGAGTCTCATAACAAAGGGTCTGAATACTTATGTAAATAAGGTTTTTCTGTTTTTTTTGTTTATACATTTGCAAAATTTCTAGGAGAAGCTAGGTTTTCCTTTGTCATGGATTGGGTATGTGGTGATGTAGAGTGGAGACTTTTTAGTGAAGGTGGGCTTTAAAATAGGCATTTGAAGGTGACGAAGTGTGGAAAAGTCAGGAGTTGATGATGGAGCGAGGGAGGACTGGGGGAGGGCATGGCGGAGGGAGTGGAGTGAGGCGGGATGGCAGTAGGGGGGGGTAGGACGTGCGGGAGGGAGGGAGTGGAGGTCTTGGGAGGGGTGAGGTCGGGAGGGGAGTGAGTGATGGGGGGATGGAGGAGGGAGGTGGGAGAGGTCGGGTGAGTGGTCGTTTAGTTCTTTCTTTCTTTTCTGATTTCTGTACTTTCTTCTGTTCGATGGTCTTATTGATTTCTTCTTTCTTGTTATTTCTTTCTTTCTTTCTTTCTTCTTGTCTTTCTTTTTCTTTCTTTATTTTTTCTTTTTTCGTCTTTCTGTTTCTTCTTTATTTCTTCTTTTTCTTTCTTTCTTTCTTTCTTTCTTCTTTCTTTCTTTCTTTCTTTCTTTCTTTCTTTCTTTCTTTCTTTCTTTCTTTCTTTCTTTCTTTCTTTCTTTCTTCTAAATAAAGTGCATCATTATTCCCATAACATTATTACAGAGAATCAGACAAGTTATGCTACCCTCTGCCTATTGGCTACTTAGCTTATTCAAGCCTGTCTCAAAATACAGCACTTCCCCTTTAAGACAAAAAAAAAAGCTATTTACCTGACTCGCTTTTCAAAGATGTCTAGAAATGCACACGTTTTGTGCTCTTCTAGGAAGCAATCAGATGTGGAGTGTGTGTGAGATGAGTCCTAGTAGGTCCTAGGTAGGGTTGTGTAAGTATATTCTCCCTCTCTGTTTTCAGGTGAGTACCTGAGCAGGTATGGGAAATGCCACCTGTGTTACGCCACCTGCTATAAGTGCACAGGTCCTGAGAAGGAGGACTGCATGAGCTGCCCATCCAGCAGGTGAGATGGACACACTGCAGTGGATTAGAGAATGGGTCATATTCATTAGTGCAGACGTCACAAAATTGCAACTGAAACCGAAAGCAATGGACTTGTATTGGACAAGTTTAGACCTTGGAGCACCTTTTGATACACTGAATGTCTTGTCTGTGAGATGAGACTGAACAGCATGTTCTTTGATTAAACATAACTTTGGAAGTTCAGCATCACAAAACGAATGTTTTGATGAATGATGATAATGTCCAAAAATACTTTTCATGTTGATATTATTGGAATTCTATATAACGTAACGATTTACATTAACTTTGTATTATGAAGCATACATTAAAGCAATTTTACACGAGAGGGCGTGGCACAATTGCTTTTCTACAACGGAGTTACCAATTCAATAAAATCTTTATTTTGAAAAATGTATTCATAGGCTACTATTTCATCCCTCCACGAGAATATACTGTAGTCCCGACACAAATCTAGGGTTGCCAGTCAAGCCTACTGGTCGTTTGTTCGATTGGCATCGTTGCCAGCCAAGCTGATTTTGTTGTTCGTTCCATTGAGGTTCGTTCTATTGGCACGTTGCTTTGCAGGCTCTTCTCTCTTGCTAGCTAGCCAACTACACAGCTAACACAATCACTTCCATGTTCAAACTGAAACTGGAGAGACAGCAAAACAGCTGCATTTCATTTCATTTTACCTGTTATTCTATTGACATGTCTTTGGATAAAAACTATGCTGATGCATGATTTTGCCCTTCAGAGAAAAGCTGTCTGTCTCGTCCTGACTCTGGGCCAGTGGAGATCACATTTCAAAATTGAAACAAATGTTACAAAGGTCTGAGGGGCAGTAGCCTAGTAATGCACAGGTTGACTTTTAACCAGCAGTCCCCGTGGTTATATTTGCGGGTGGGCGGGTTTAGGGTCATGAAATACTGTGTGGATGGAAGGTTGGTTGGGTGGCGGGGCGAGGAGGGGTGGGTTGAATAAAGAGAAAACAATACATTAAAAAAATCCATACATGTATCATTCTTGTGCAATCTATATCTATAGGTTACACCGAGGTTTTTATTTCATTATTTTAGGCTATCTGGCATTAGTGCATAGGCTAAGCCTAAGCTTTAGGGCCTAACTATGCGTGCCAAATGTTTTACAGACACATTTTTATGACAAAAATAAACAATACAATACAGTATGCAGTAGTAGGGTTGTCATTAGTTAACACAGCCACAAAATTATAATTATGGCTAAACTCTTGCCCATTTCTACAATTTATCTTCTTAAAATCTGATTTTAAACATTTACCACACTGCTAACCTTATGCCTAACCCTAACCTTGAATTAAGACCAAAACGCTAATTGTTTTAGCCAATTCTGACTTTGTGGCTGTGGAATATGACTTTGTGGCTGTGGAATATGACTTTGTGGCTGTGTTATCTAGTGGAAACCCAGTACTGCAAGAAGCCCCTGGAGTGATGCGGTAGCTGCTGTGATTGTTCAAGATTTCACAGTGGACAGTGGACCGCCCACATTCCTTCAGCACCGGTTAGATTTCAATGTCATCATTTAGCAAAAGACCTGTCACTCAGTCTGCTGTATAGCATAGAGCAAATATGGATATTCTGAACTTCTTCCGAAAGGGAGGCAATAAAAGCGAGCAGGTTGAGCACAAGAAGGCGGCAGTAAATGAGGTGGAGAGGACAGAACAGCCAGAAAGTCAAATTGCAGCAGCAGAGTTAAAGGCGCTGCATGGTCAATCTGTTGTCTGCATTGGCCATGTAGCATTTACGGTGATACGGCCTCTGCAGAAGTCAGGGCATTCATACTTATTGCACTTCGTGGAGCAGCGCAGAGCTGTTGTGAACGCAAGTTGTTTATGTTTATACAGGACCTCCCGCCCCCACCTACCGTCAACCAATCATGTCAATGCGGAGCTATATGGAGCTATACAGAGCCCTCCGCATTGTTACAAAATTTGGGAGGCGCACGCGATGTGGTACGGAGCTCAATTTGGCCTCTGCATGCCTCTGGAGGCTTCGCAATTGCGTCACACCCTCCATACGGAGCCTCTGACCACATTTTCGGATCAAGCATAAGAGGCTCTGCTTTGTCAATCCGACGTCTGAAGTGGCTGTACAGCATTTATTGGGATGCAGCCTCCAAAGACGTCACAGCTTTCATACTTCTTGCGCTTAGCAGAGCAGAGCTATTGTGAAGGTGGTCCTCTGTAGCTCAGCTGGTAGAGCACGGCGCTTGTAACGCCAGGGTAGTGGGTTAGATCCCCGGGACCACCCATACACAAAAAATGAATGCACGCATGACTGTAAGTCGCTTTGGATAAAAGCGTCTGCTAAATGGCATATTATTATTATAAGTTGTCAAGGAAGTGAGTTTGTGTTTATAAAGGACGTACCGCCGCCACCTACCGTCAACCAATCATGTCAATGCGGAGCTATATGGAGCCCTCCGCATTGTTACAACATTTGAGATGCGGTACGGAGCTTGATTTGGCCACTGCATGCCTCCGGAGGCTCCGCAATTGTGTCACTCCCTCCATACGAAGCCTCCGACCACATTTTTCATAAATTGACTTTTAATTGTCTTTGAGCCACAGGTTTGTGCAGGGTTGATGGTAGCTAAGTAGATAGCTAGTCTCCCTCAGCACAAGGGTTGGTTAATGCTAATACGCGCTCAGCACCCTTAAGCTAATGGGTGTCAGAGTTATTTAACAGTATATTTAGCAAATGGTCAGGCTAAAGATGTTGATATACAGTACATTCGGAAAGTATTCAGACCTCTTGACTTTTTCCACATTTTGTTACGTTACAGTCTTATTCTAAAATGGATTAAATGAAACATTTTCCTCATCAATCTACACAAAATACTCCATAATGACAAAGCGAGAACAGGTTTTTAGAAACAGAAATACCTTATTTACATAAGTATTCAGACCCTTTGCTATGAGACTCGAAATTGAGGTCAGGTGCACCCTGTTTCCATTGATCATCCTTGAGATGTTTCTACAACTGGATTGGAGTCCACCGGTGGTAAATTCAATTGATTGGACATGATTTGGAAAGGCACACACCTGTCTATATAAGGCCCCACAGTTGACAGTGCATGCAAAAACCAAGCCATGAGGTTGAAGGAATTGTCCGTAGAGCTCCGAGACAGGATTGTGTCATTCTTAAATGGAAGAAATTTGGAACCACCAAGCCGCTTCCTAGAGCTGGCCATCCGGCCAAACTGAGCAATCGGGGGAGAAGGGCCTTGGTCAGGGAGGTGACCAAGAACCCGATGGTCACTCTGAATGAGCTCCAGAGTTCCTCTATGGAGATGGGAGAGCCTTCCAGAACGACAACCATCTCTGCAGCACTCCACCATTCAGGCCTTTATCGTAGAGTGGCCAGACGGACGCCACTACTCAGTAAAAGGCACATGACAGCTCGCTTGGAGTTTGTCAAAAGCCACCTAAAAGACTCAGACCATGATAAACAAGATTTTCTGGTCTGATAAAACCAAGATTGAACTCTTTGGCCTGAACGCCAAGCGTCACGTCTGGAGGAAACCTGGCACCATCTCTACGGTGAAGCATGGTGGGGGCAGCGTCATGCTGTGGGGATGTTTTTCAGAGGCAGGGACTGGGAGACTAGTCAGGATTGAGGGAAATATTAATGGAGCAAAGTACAGAGAGATCCTTGATGAAAACCTGCTCCAGAGCACTCAGGACCTCAGACTGGGGTGAAGGTTAACCTTCCAACAGGACAACGACCCTAAGCACACAGCCAAGACAACACAGGAGTGGCTTCGGAACAAGTCTACAGGTGTGCCAAGCTTGTAGCGTCATACCCAAGAGGACTCGAGGCTGTAATCGTTGCCAAAGGTGCTTCAACGAAGTACTGAGTAAAGGGTCTGAATACTTATGTAAATGTTATATATGTAAATGTTATATATATACAGTGAGGGAAAAAAGTATTTGATCCCCTGCTGATTTTGTACGTTTGCCCACTGACAAAGAAATGATCAGTCTATAATTTTAATGGTAGGTTTATTTGAACAGTGAGAGACAGAATAACAACAACAAAATCCAGAAAAACACGTCAAAAATATTATGAATTGGTGGCAAAAACCTTGTTGGCAATCACAGAGGTCAGATGTTTCTTGTAATTGGCCACCAGGTTTGCACACATCTCAGGAGGGATTTTGTCCCACTCCTCTTTGCAGATCTTCTCCAAATCATTAAGGTTTCGAGGCTGATGTTTGGCATCTTGAACCTTCAGCTCCCTCCACATATTTTCTATGGGATTAAGGTCTGGAGACTGGCTAGGCCACTCCAGGACCTTAATGTGCTTCTTCTTGAGCCACTCCTTTGTTGCCTTGGCCGTGTGTTTTGGGTCATTGTCATGCTGGAATACCCATCCACGACCCATTTTCAATGCCCTGGCTGAGGGACGGAGGTTCTCACCCAAGATTTGACGGTACATGGCCCCGTCCATCGTCCCTTTGATGCGGAGAAGTTGTCCTGTCCCCTTAGCAGAAAAACACCCCCAAAGCATAATGTTTCCACCTCCATGTTTGACGGTGGGGATGGTGTTCTTGGGATCATAGGCAGCATTCCTCCTCCTCCAAACACGGCGAGTTCAGTTGATGCCAAAGAGCTCGATTTTGGTCTCATCTGACCACAACACTTTCACCCAGTTCTCCTCTGAATCATTCAGATGTTCATTGGCAAACTTCAGACGGCATGTATATGTGCTTTCTTGAGCAGGGGGACCTTGCGGGCGCTGCAGGATTTTTCAGTCCTTCACGGTGTAGTGTGTTACCAATTGTTTTCTTGGTGACTATGGTCCCAGCTGCCTTGAGATCATTGACAAGATCCTGCTGTGTAGTTCTGGGCTGATTCCCCACCGTTCTCATGA